TTGAAAACAAAAAGTACAAAATTAAAATAAGCTTTACTTTGCACATTGTAGTTCTTTTCACGCTGCATCTCCTGGTATATTTTGTTTTTCTAAAACAACTTATTAAGTGATGCAAAAATGAAATGAAAAAAGGGGTTTTTTTTGTCAGAAGGAGATTCATAAGTTGCCCTATTCGAATTCGAATATAAATAAAGTTCTGAGAGTACTATTTCACTACGCAAAAAAAGAAATTCGAGCTAGTACTGAACTCACAAGGTAGTCAAAATTTTTATCTAAACTATAATTATTTCCCAGACAACGTCTTTAATATAATAATTGATATTTAAAAGCTTTCGATGAGTTCGTCGATAAATCAATGTGTGACCTTAAATTTCTACTTGTGCAGAAATGCATGCTTTTGCCCACGTCACCGACTTTTTATATCAGCGTCATGGCGAAGAGACACGTAGCGTTCTCCGAAAAGTTGCGAATCATGCACGGCAATACAAGTGTTTTTCTTGTGATCTAGGCAAGACATTTCTATGCAAATTACAATTGTCATGAACATAAGAATTTTATCTTTAGCTCTGACTACATTGCTGTCAATGAAATTTGAAAAATTTGATTTATTTTCGAACTTGAATTTTAGGCATCTATTCTAAACATTATTTAAACGAGTGATTTTAATTGTAAGAAATGAAGAATACCAAGTTATAAATAGAAATATCATGTAGCAAGAAAGACAATATATTGTTGAATATCAGTATGTCTATTATTAATCACCAATCCTCATCAAAAAGTAACTCAGTGTAAATGTGTATGCTTTACATCTTGTAAATGTTTCAAAAACGATGAAGATAACTGTTTATATAATAATCTATTATTTAACGACAGCGGCAATCTTTGTGACGATAATCATTGTTATATTAAATTATAAAAGAGTTTGAAATTTATGCTTAGATATTATGTAATTATTCATTCTTGAGTGATTCTAGCCAATGATACAACATACATCATGATTAAATATTTTTAAAGCTTTTTGATATGATCGAAAATTTTTATACCTTTGTTTTTTAAATAAAACGTTTGATTTAACTGATTTCTTTATCGTTTATATATAATACTGTCATGTGAAGGTTATAAAAATGTTTTTGTAATCTTTTTTTGCGATTGTCTATGTTGTCTTAGTATCAAGTTGTCAAAAGAAGTATATTGCTTCAAGTATTTTTCATCGATCATTTTACTCTATTAGTAAATGAACATGAAAAGATAAAAGAATTTGTTTCTATTTGATAAATACTACAAACCTTTCTCATTTATTTATCTCTGACTTTGTTAATTTTGTTTTTTTTTTTTTACAAGGTTTTTTAAATTCGATATAATGACTCTTCATTTAAAAAGAGTATAAATCGTTGAATATATTTCATCATTATGCCATAAATTTTCTCTATTAGAAACTGTATATGAACATTCATATAGTTCAATAGGAGACGATAGTTAATTCAAGATGACAGATATAATTTTTCTTTTCTTGTTATTTAGTATAATTTTTGATGTTCTTATTCAATAGAATTTATTAATGCCCCCTTTCTCTCATGTATTTACTTATCGAATATAAAAAACTTGAAGTTATATGACCAACATATCTTAAAATACATAAAACAATAGTTACAATCGTGTATGTATTATTGATTCGTCTTGATCATCATCATCATCGTCGTCAGTAGTATGATGATCACTAGTATAATTAATATTTTTTGATGGATTAAATCGATTAGTTACAATAAATTCCAAAGTATTACTCGTTTGATAAATATTATCTAAAAATACAAAATAAATTTATTTTATTTTCTTCATTTTAAACATACCTAATGATCGAGCTTTTGTTTTTAATGTTGGTTTTTTTGTTAAATTTAACGAACTAGTTGATGTTGTTATTGGCTGATAAGAATATCGTCGTATAGATGGTAAATGTTCGACAGTTTGTTCCCATGTACCTAAATCCGATATGAACATACAAAAATAAAAAAACATTGGAATAGAATTATTCATACGGATATCCACAATATGTTGTTGTAATGCTCGTATCCAAATATTTAATGTAAATAAGTCTTGAACAAAAAATTCTTCTTGATCAAAATGTCGATTAAAAATTGAAAATGATAAATGATCATTATGTGATAAAATTATAGTGTCCTAATTTAACAAAAGAAAAAAATAAAGAAAATAAACAAAAACAAATGAGAAATTTGCTGTTATTTTTGTTTATCCTACCGATGTAATCGGTATAGAAAAAGTACGTTGTTGTGAATGGTCATTACGCATTATTTCTTCACCATGTAAAAATCCTCCATTTAATATACATGAATATGGAACACGATTAACTTCAACAATACCAGCAAATGTTGCTGATCGTGTATAACACAATGGTTGAATAAGAAAACGTGAAAGAAATGTATATTCAATTGGTAATTGCATTAAAGGATTTTCTTGTGGACGTTCCATAGTTAAATTACGATGTTTTGGCATTTTATGAACAGATTCTTTGATATATGTTGCTTGAGCAATTAAAACAAATTTCGATTGTGGTTGGTTAGATGTTTTTTGCTGAAAAAAAAACAATATAGATTCTTGATTTAGTTTAGATGATCATAAAAAGACAATCAAGTTACATGAGTTGTATCATTTTGTGGGACTTTTCGTCTTGATCTTGGTGATCCATGAACTGAAAAATAACTATATCTTTCAGCAAAATCTTTTCCTGCTGTTGATAAAGCAAGACTTTTATTTAATGCGTAGATTTCAAGATGTAATTCAAAATTATGTGGAACATTTTCACTAAAAGAAAACAAAATTATATATCATCAAATATCTTATGATTGATTGTAAATAAGAAAATTTACAATGTTAATTTATCTGTAAAAAGTATATCAGTTGATTGTTTATCAATAAATTTCATTTGTGTATCAATTATTTCACATCCAATACGTGCCAAACAAAAAACAGCAAATTTCTTTTGTTCTAAACAATAAGAAATTCTATTAAAATAACATCAATTAAATTCCATATCGAACCTGATTTTGCTTTTTTCATCTTTGCCCATACTAACGGTAAACGAATATCTGATAAAATAACTGTTGCTTTTGTTGGTTCAAGACTTAAAAGAAACATGAGATTTAGAAATTGAGTCATATATATATATTCTATTTAATAAAATTTAATACTTTGTATCATCACGTTTAAGTAGATTTTGTTGTTTTCGTCTTATTTCACCCATAAAAGCTAACATTCGTTGTTGCGAAAGAACAAGAGCTTTGTTACATTCTATTGTTTGTTCGACTGTTGTCGCTACATTGAGTAGTTTACTAATTCCATCAATCATTTTTACTTCACAATCGATTTTACGTTCTAATTCAGGATCCTAATTACATACAAGAATAAAAGAATAAATAAATGCATGTGAAGATAATCTACTTAGTTCAACATACCCAAATGAAGAACGATACCACTCGTTTTTCGCCATCAGTATGATTCGCACTCATATTTTTTTAAAAGTAAAATGCAAGAGAAATGTGAAAGACGTTTTTTTACTTTATTCTCTTTCGTCGTCTATTTATGTATGAATGACACGAAAAGAAGGTAAATATGTACTATACGATGACTAAGAATTTCATGGCATACCTGCCGCGTAGGTGGAGAGAATTGATTGATTATTCACAATAGAGAAGTTTATGACTCTTTCAAGGTTTCTTATAATGTTTTATTTGTTACAATGAGAAAAAGCACACTGCTCATCTGTTAATGGGCAAGAATTAGGATGAAATGCGTAAAAAAAACATGGTTTAGTTTTAAAACACTGTTTTGATGATTGTTTTTGTTTTAATGTTATTGAATTTAATTGTGGATTAGCTAATGTTATTAATTTTGTTTTTGGATCAAAATTAATTGCATGACGGTAAGATAGAATAACTGATTTCAAACCACCATTTTCAGATTTTAATTGTTCACAAAGTTCATTTGGTAGAATATCATATGCTGATGATAATGTTAAAGGATTATTATGAATTATAAGATATTCAAAAAGAAAATGAATAATAGAAAATTTTGTTGAATAAAATTCTGGTTTAGATTTTATTGATGATAAACGATGATTCGGTATTTGAGGATCAGCATGTTCATGATTAATATCAATACCAAAATGATTAAATAAACGAGTATGAATTGAATCACTTGAACTGAAAATTAAAAAAATTATATTATTAATTTTTTTCTCATTTTATATTTTACCGATTTTCAGGCTTTTTTTCATGCAACATAAAACAAATATTTTTCGTTGATGGAATACGTAATTTATCTTTTTTTATATTAAAATCAAGTATATCGGCAATTTTTTCTATATAATTTAAATATTGTTCATATTGTGTTGTATCATTATTATTATTTGTAATAAATTTTTTTCCACTAAAATCAAAGAAACAACAAGGTAATAGAAAAACATCACAAAAACATTGACTAGCTAAAACAGGTAACCATGGTGTTAATTCATCAGAATGATTACCAATAAGAAGAGTATATTGATTAGATATAATTAAATTATGCAAAGTTGGAGAATGAGGATCAATTAATGATTCAAGATAAAGTGATGAACCAAACAGAGACCATGAACGACGACGACGCATGTCAATACCAAGTCCAGAATAACCTTCAGATGAAAGTAAAAATGTTAATAGACCATTACCACAACCTAAATCAATAAATTTAATCGATTTTTGAAATAATGAAGAATATTGACGCCAATAAGTTAATAAATAACTTGCAATGCCTAAGAAAAAAATTGTAGTTGAATTATTTAAATTCTATTCAAAGAGGGAAGAACAGGATTGGAATCCGTAGCACCTTTTGGTACTCAAACTTAGAAAGGGTGCTCATACAATTTCGGAAAATAATTGAGATTATAGTTAGAGACTATTCTTAATTGTTTTTTTTTCGATTAATACAACATTATTGCTTTTAGAGAATACCGAATGTTTATAAAGTGAGGCGAAGGTTTTTCAAGGTTGAGGAATCTGAATCTAGCGATGTTTGATCGAAATTCTCGAGTTAGTTTTTCTTAATTTGAAGAAGCATGTTTTTTGTGATGCAGCTAGATTTTTATAAAACTCATCTGTTGTTTTAAAATTGAACTCGAGAATATTGACAAGTTATCTACAGATTTTTCTACCTCAAAACCTTGCAGTTTAGTACTCTCTTGACTCTATTTTTACTAACAAACCACTATATCAGCAAGAGATATGTGACCTATTTAATATAAAAGTACTTTATTAAATTATTAATATCGATAACAGATTATAGTAGAGAAGAGAATTCATTATAATGTAATACAGTATCATCCAGTCTTACGGTAAAAGAATAACTTAAATTTTAAACATACTCAACTTAGTTTCATTTTTTCTTAAGTTGATATACTTCAATACTTAATATTATCAAACTATAGTTAATAGCTCCAAAACAATGAAATTCAATATGAGATGATAACGAGAAAAAAAACCATCACATGTACACTGTTCTGATAAATAGTGTTCGTTAATTTAGAAGATTATTATAGTTGTTCGAAACATAATTTCAATAAGAAAACTCAACAAAGTTCATGAGATTCTTCAGACATACTACTCCCCATCGAACTCAAAACTGCGTAATCCGAAGGGAAACTAGACGGACTAAAGTTTGCCACAAACCTGTATTGAAATGATAAATGAAACGATGAAAGCTATTCTTAAACACATAAAAGCTGACTTCGTAGATCTCCTATATTTCTTACATTTTTGCAAAAAACAAGTATTCTTTTGAAAATATTGGCATATCCTATATAAACTACCTTGTGTGTCGACGTCAAAATCATCAGTGGAGTCTATAACACAGCCTTCAACTTTCATGTGCTAACACATGAGATATTATTGAACTTGATTGTATGTCATACTACTGATAAAATCAAAGCTCAAGCTAAAAAAAGATGTTGTTATTTGACAACGCCTCTTCGTCATACACTGTGACAAAGATCTTATAATATGGCTGTTTTCTCCTCGTGAATCATGAGCTGTATATCCATGAAACTAATCTAAAGCAACATTAGTATGAAACACGGCTGAATTTAAGATATTTATTCTTCGACCTTCTCACATACTGCTTGAAATCTATTGTGATTCATCGTGTTTTTCTTCTTATCGATAGACATTAAGAGTAAATGGTAATTCATAAAATAAAAACCTATATTAACAGATTCCTTTGTTTTTGACAATGGCAATAGCCCCATGGTGTTTTAAATTTTATTCCCGCTGAGATTGCTCTAAGAGCTTTTTCTACTTATAAATATTTTGCTTATGTACTTGCATGTGTATCAAATAGTGTAATAGTGATTCGAAAAACAGATGGAAAAAAATCCAACACAAGTTTTGTTATTTCTTTAGATGAATTCTCATTGTGCCATTGTTTTTCATAATATGAAGCAGAACTAGGCAAGTCAATTTAGAGCTGCTAAAAATTTCTCTATACACATCCACAACTCATCTAACTTGAATACTATTAATTTCATATATCTTCACTAACTAATACCTGATTATTCTTTGTAGAATTCAACGATATAAATATGTCTAGTAGTTGTTGAATGACTTGGATGCTGATGCTGTTGGAATACACAGAACTTTTACCGCTAGTTGACTCAATGTTTTATATGCAGATGAATTTCGAAAAACTCAGAGTTGAGTCAACCAAGCTAGACTTGATTTGTCGAGCTCTAATTGAAAGGTACTTTTTATTTAATTCATAAGATAATATGCACGGGAAAAAGAACAACCTACCATCTGAAGTATTCCGGAGGAACTCTCAAGATGCCTCTTCGAGATAAACAATGACATATGCAACAGTTATAAAACCCTATATAAGTAGTGCTTTTGAATTCTAATAAAGTAAAGATACGAAACTAATGTCCGTTTCAAAATATAATGCGTCCCACTGTTTTTTGAATAACTCAAGAACGCAATAAGCTAGAGATCTGCGGTTTTCACCAATCGAAAGAAGAGACAAGAGGGCGTCTTTTTCTCCAATATCGTATCGGACGGAATCGTTTTGAAACCAGTCATTTCTGCATAACATCGAAAAAATGGTCTATCATTCAGATGAAATTTTCACAAAAAGTAAAAAAAATTTCCTTCAAAATTAAAAGAAATTCATAGTTTTCTTGCGAGTAAATAGACGATTTTATTTGCTAAACGTTAGGATGCGGTAAGATAATCATTCGAATTATATCCTGAAGTATAGATCCGAAGTCCCTCTATCTAGATCACATGTCAAAAGAAAAATTTCTTCAGAATGCCGGGTCGTTTTCATGCATTTTTTGCAATGTTTTGCAGAAATGACTGATTCTAAAATGATTTTGTCTGATACAATATTGGAGAAAAAGACGTCCCCCTGTCTCTTCTTTCGATTGGTGAAAACCGCAGATCTCTAGCTGATTGCGTTCTTGAGTTATTCAAAAAACAGTGGGACGCATTATATTTTGAAACGGACATTAGTAGCTCGATGGTTCTAAAATTTACTCGGAGCTAGAACTGCGATTTCAGCTACTCAAAAAATCGCTTCCGATTTAATTCCAGTATTTTGTTATCGCCCAACTCTTGCCAACATAAATGTTTTTCATACCTAAATCTTCAAAAACATGTTTTTGAGGATCAGTACTTTCACACCAATTTTCGGTTAAATATTTTCCATATTTTATTTTTAATCGTTCATATTCACGTTGATATTCTTCAATTGATATTAGTTTTAATGTTGTATTTTCTGTACTATTTTCAATATTTGATTGACACCATTTAATAAATTTTGGCATAAGATTATCTTTTAACCATAGAATTTCTTTTTCTGTTTTATTTTCGACTATAACCAATCGAATTTTGTTTTCTTGAATTAATAATTCAAAACGATATGCAAATACTTGAACACCACATGATTTACTGTTCATTGAATTCGATACAATAGGTCGAAATTCAATTGACATATCATTCGACAGAATATATTCATCTTGATCATGATAAATTCTTGGATTTTTCGATATTAATGTTCGTTTATCAACAATAGTTTTTCCTGTTGAATATTTACGATCACTACGATCAAGTGCCAATGCAAATCGAACAGTTGTTACACGTTTATTAACTACATGTGGTTTATATAAATAAATCGATATTGCAGATAAAAAATGTTCTTTATCAACATTTATATTTGATACATCAAACTCCATAAAATCTATTAATATATATGTACATATTTAAATTTTTTTTTTTTTTTTTTTGTTGAAGTATAAGAGATAAACAGAATGTTTTTATTATTTACACAAACATTACAAGTACTTAGTACTATCAAATAGATAGTAAGGAGGACGGCGCTGTTTGTTATTAGTTTTTTTTGTTTTCATTCACATTAGCGACCATTTGAAAAAAAATCAGACAAAATGCAAGTCGAGACTGGTTTTGATCAGAAAATAACAGCACAAAGACGAAAAAAAACAAGACAAAAAGAAAAAAAAAAACAGATTATTTTTTACACAATTAGATCTGGCAATAAATCATATCTAAAGACGGAAGATTCAGAAAGTATGCGCACGTCATTGAATTTTAATGTTGTTGTTGTTGTTGTTGTAACATTTCAACAAAAGCAGCATTTAAATCAAATGAATTTGGTGATGATGGAACCATTGTTGGAGGAAAATTATTATTATTATTTGTTGGTGAATTTAGTCGTTGTGTTGCTTGTAAAATTTGATGAGGATCAAATAACATTTGAGTTTTAGGTGGTCGACCAGGACCACGTTTTTTTGCTGCCATTAATGGCATATCCATTCCACCAACTCCGACGTCGAGAGGTAATTTCGTAGCACTACTCATTGATGATGCTGGTAAACTATGTCGACTTTGACCAGCAGTATTTTTAACCATTGATGCGGGAGCTCCACTAAAATGAATTATTTTAAGAAATTAAATTCAAAATATTTATTAGTTGAGCTCATAAAGAGATAACGGTAAGAATAGAAAAGTTCACACACTGAAGGATCTTTACAGCCCAGTTAGGATCATTTTATTGAATCTTCGAGTCACCTTTAAATACACACTGAGAATGACAGGTATTAGTTAGGTGGGTTGTCTCGTTAGATAAAGATCAAGAGTGTTGAAAGCAGAATAAACAATATCAGTATTGTACAATTTACCTATATGAGGATTATATTACAGTTCTTTCGATAGAAACTAATTCGTCGTTTGAAGACTCGTTATGATAATTTTAGATTAAAAAATTGTACGCATGGATTCTGACGATTCCAACCGACAAAACAATTACTTTCACTTACAAAAATTGGCATAAGCAAACTTTTATTTTCTTGATATTTCTCTCTTTGTTACAGTACAATCTGTGCCTGGTCATCAGTATGTTTAATTCAAAACAACATCAATTTATACTTTGAGCAGATTTATAGAAAATGGCGAAAACTTCCAAGAGAACGAAAATAGGAAATGCAAAAAATTTGATATAAAGCAAAACATTGATCTATTAGTAGCCAGTATTGTCATTGTTTTCCGAAAACATCTTCCGTCGTCTTTCTAGTACAGCCCGAACAAATGAAACTGAAATCACCAGACTTTTGTGAGTGTATAACGGAAGATGTTTTCGCATGAAATGACTTTCAAAACTTATTCTAATCATTTCGTGTATATATCCATCTTCGATAAATTTTTTTAAACACAAGTATCAAATTGTTTTAATATCATCTTCACTTACTTTCTCGGTACGGGAGCTGGTGGCATTGATAAACCTGTTTGTTGTCCAAGCATAGATGCTAATGCTGATTGAAATGCGGCTGCAGATGACGCCCCAGCATTTGCACTCATTCCATTTTCAATAGCTGCAAAAAGTTGATCATAAGGTGATGTTAATGATGATGGATCGAGATCAAGCGCAGAAAGACCAGCTAATCCTCGATCAGTAACATATTTAGGTGGTCGACCACGACGTCTTGGAGCAAAATTTCCACGTTCAAAAGGTGAAGGACTTGTTGATGTATGAGGAACTATAGTTGCATTTGAAGACATGCCTGATGATTGAACTTCTGGTTTCGATGGACGATTTGTTCGTTTAGGTATTGCATCGGATTGTGTTAAACCAAGTAATTGTTGTTTTAATAAAGATGAATTAACTGCTGCAAGACTATCTGTTTCATTTGATGATGATGACATCATTAATTGTTGTGTCATTTCCCATAAAAGTTGTTGTTGTATTGACAAAGATGTAGACGATTGTGATGATGTTTCAGATGTTTTTTGTCGTTTAGTTGTTGGTGGAGAAGAAAATGATGATGATGATGAAGGTGATAATTTATGTTTAACTAGTGTCTGTTGTGAATTTAATGGCGTTGTCTTAGTTAGATCATTAAGTATTTTTGAACGATTAGATAATTTTGATGATGACGACGGCATAGATGATTGAGATTTACTGCTTCAATAAAACAAAAAAAATGCTTCATTTAATAATCATTATTAAAAAAATAAGTTTCACGTTGTAAACGAAAGAAAGTCTATAACAGAGCCATTGATAAGTACATAAATAATAGTACGTCTAGTGATTCTTTTTCTATTCGAAAGTCTACTTAAAACATATATTTCAGTAACATACAAATAACTTATGTACTGACACTTTTAGTAGTATTTGAATCCATATCACAGAGGTTAACATTTGAAAAACTTTCTCATACGAGTAATGACTCGTAGAAATATTTCTATACTACGAAAATCGAGTCTAGAGCAACTATCAAAAGTTCACTTTACAGTTTCTCATATATATCTATACGAAGCATTTTTTCGATAGTGAGGAATATCTAAAAAAAACCCTAAAAATCAAACTAATTAGTGAAACAACAAATATCTGCTAAATCCTTTAAGACCCCATTCGGATGTGATAAACATTATCAAAGATGATCGGACTCTACCTTTGAAAATGTTATCTTCAACTAACGACGAAACAGTCCGCCCAATAAGTGCTGAACCTGGATCCGTTGGCGTCGAAGTATGAAAATTTTGAGCTCAACTAGCTCTACAAGATATAGAAACTCTATGAAAATCTCATTTCTATGGAAAACACTTCTGCTAATTTTTCAAAAAATGAAATTTTCTGTCAGAAAGCAAGTACTGCATTTTGCTGGATGAAATCTACTATATTAACAAAAACTTGAACTACTATTTTCGAGTTACACTAATGGAAGTAAAAATTCTCCGTCTAAGTAATATCTGTTCAGCCTTTCAAAAATTATCACTATTGTTTTGAACAAGAACTAACGCAGTTTTCTACTAATCACAAGTTTAATTACCAAAGACACTTGATTTTAACCTCTAAGTGTCTTATGATCTTGAGCAATAGAAATATAATACTGTGCTCTTCTCCAAAAATCACTCTCATTTGACTATATATATTTACCTAAGACCGTTTGAATTATGTTTTCCATTTGGTATCTTTTTAATTCCATTCATTTGTTGTTTATGATTTAAATGTCCATTAGTTTTATTTATAACTTTTCTTCGTTGTTCTTTTATATCTTTAACAATAATTGTTACTATATCAGCTAAAATATCATCAACTATTTCTAAAATATCTTCATTTTCATCATGACAATTATAATGATTATTATTATTATTATTATCAACAAAATGTTTTGATAATAAATTTAGTTGAAGATAATTTTGTTCAATTTGATTTTGATGATAAATATCTTCAATATCATTTTCATCTTCTTGATCTGATGTTAATATAGGTTGTTCATGATGATGAACACTTGTTGATGATGATTTTATTAATGTTAATGGTAAAAGTCGTTGTGTTGGTGGTTTAATTATTTCCGGTGATAATTGTAAACGACGTGGAACACCTTTACGACGACCACCACGTTCATTTTGCAGTGGTTGTTGTTGCTGTTGTTGAATTACATCTAAAGGTTGTTCATTTTCTTCTTCATCACTTTCATTATCATTGGAATAATGCTTCCCGTTTGAAATAGAAAATAACGATAATTCATCCATATAAACAACAAGAAAAAAAAATGAATCTAAAAGACAAAGTAAAAGAAAAAGAAAGACGAAATTTTATTGTCTGTACTAACCGACCGATCGATAAATGTATGTGAAAAGATAGAAAAATATTTTTTTTTGCTTTTTTTTGTCCGTCCGACCTGCCGCGTCAGTCAATCACACATTCATTCATTTTATTTATTTCTTCTTTTCTCTCTATTTCGAAACAATGGACTCAAATTCCATCTATCAAAAATAGAGATTTAGCGACATCTAGCTTTTTTGAAAAATATGAAAATATTTTTTGTTTTATTTAGAATAATGTTTTTTTAATGAAAAAAAAAGTTTTTCTTTACAGAAATTAGTAGTATTAATGCTCAAACATTTGCATTAATTGTAACCAAGGTTACAATAGTTTCAAATGGCACAAATATATTTGAAGATTTGAGTAGTTTGTGTTTTTGTTCTATAGTTATGGATCAAACACTACGTCCATTGAATATTCCACCAGAATTTCTGCTTTATGCAGAAAAATATGCTCTGTTTGAATTATTTCAGGTAAAAGAAAAATTCATTTTTTTTAACTGTTATCATATATAGATATTTTACTGTGTAAATAATTAACTGAATGTAGATTTCTGTTTGAAAGTACAGAAAAATGATTAATTGATGGTCTTTATAAATTAACGTAAACATATTACATTTTTCTTCTGTTTGAGCGATGCACATTACATGCAATGGATATTGATAAGTACGAAACTAACTGTAATCTTACATAGTTTTCGATGAAATACGGCTTGTTCGTCATAGTGACTTACACATGAACTAAATGTTTCATCAAATATGAGAAAACAATGTTTATTTCGTTGGTTTAGTAGCAATTTTCCGTCTTATTATATGGACATATATTTATAAAGGAGTATATCAAGAAAGAGCATTAGTTGTTGACAGTGGCGGATCCAGGATTTTTGTTTATACTGCATCTCAACGTCAGAGCATGGGACCAAGATGAAACTTATGGAGGATGATATTAGACCCAAGTCATAAATTTTTAGCAACAAATTTTTGTGATCGGTGTTTGCGAAAAAAAAATTTTTTTTTACCGCCACCCCCCTCAATTTTTTACAAATTTTAGTAGTATTCGGTTCTTTTAATTTAATCGTAATCTACGTCGAATTTCATCGACAGATTTCAAATTTCATCTAAAAATATGCATCCATTCAGGAGTTATAACGCTTCGGAATTTTGCGAAACGTCGCAAAAATTGTGACAAAAATTCAAAACGTTATAAGTCTTGAATGGATGCATATTTTTGGATGAAATTTGAAATCTGTCGATGAAATTCGATGTAGATTACGATTAAATTTAAAAAACTGGATACTACTAAAATTTGTAAAAAATTGAGGAGGGGTGGCGGTAAAAAAAAAATTTTTTTTTTCGCAAACACCGATCACAAAATTTTTTGCTGAAACTTTATGACTTGGGTCCAATATCATCCTCCATAAGTTTCATCTTGGTCCCATGTTCTGACGCTGAGATCCAGCATAAACAAAATCCTGGATCCGCCACTGGTTGTTGACTAAATTCTTAAAGAAATCTTGATAAAATGTACATTTTATCTTAAATTCTCTAGTATGAGTACTTTATCTAGATATGCTATGATGGTCTAATATGTTGAGTTTTGCAACCTTAGTTATGATCTACTAAAAAAGAAATTTGCAAGAAAACTTAGTCAAGTTAGAATACAAATGATTGATTAATATGCTATTGTTATATTTTAACAACAGCATATTTTTTTTTTGTATACTGTTGCATACATAAACTATGATGGCAAGATTACTAAGAAAACAGAGATGATAGTTTTCAGGTTCCGGAAGACTTTTTTTTTAACAATGACATTTAAAAAAGCATAAAGTGAAGGGTGGCCGTAATTTTTTACGATCTTGTCTTACAAACATCTTCAAATGGAGAGAAAGGTGATCTTTGGCGACTTTTTTTTTGGATAAATTTCGTTCTTTCTAATGCTTTTAACTTTTTAAGAGAATGCTGTAGAAGATACCTTGATCTCTCATTTTGTACTCTTTAAAATAGCATTTAAAAAAATCTTCTAGAACTTGAAAATCATTGTGTCTGATTTTTTTCTAGAAATTTTGCCGTCATAATTTATCCATGAAATCTTACTATAAAATACATTAAATAGACAACTCCGTTGACTATTAAAATCACTATCTGGATTCGAGCTTTGTGTTTGATATTATAGAAAAATATGTTGTTGTTAAATATTTTGCCACTATCTTAGTTTCGAATTATTAATAATTTTCTTTGATTTCTTTTTGTTTTTCAGCGATGTATTTCATCATTGCTTGTTGATCGGCCCAGCGATCCAATAACATATCTAATTGATTTACTCAAAAAAGATTCTGATGGTTAGTGAAATTTTTTCTTTCTTGCTAATTTATTATACTTTTCTTTTATAGCTCCGAAAATTATTTTTCTTGGTCCACCAGCATCTGGTCGTCATACAATAGCTAAAATGTTACAGAAAAAATTAAATGCTATTTTAATTGAACCAGAGGAACTTTTACGTGATATACCAAGTAAATTAAAAGATAAGTTACCAGTTAATCCAACTGTTGTATGTATTCAGACAAAGATTTTTTTTATTTCTTATTCAGAAATATTTTAATTGAATAAATAGAATAATATTTCATCAGCATTATGGGCTCAAATATATGAAGAACGTTTAAAAGATTTTGATTGTATTCGTCGTGGTTGGATTTTAGTTGATTTTCCAATGAATCGTGAACAAACATTAGCATTACAAGCCAAAGGCATATGTCCAAGACATGTAGGTTAGTTGAAAACTATATTATTATCAATATTCAACAAAACTTGTCTAATCATCATCGGACTTATTGATAGAAATTTTTTTTTTAATCTTAACGTTCATTGTAGTATGTTTGGAAGCACCTGACACTGTTATGATTGAACGTGCAGCTGGAAAAAGAATCGATTCAAAAACAAAAGGTTGTTTTATAGTTTTTGTTTAAATTCTTTTCATAATATTTGATTTTTCTAGACATTTATCATATAACATGGAATATTCCAAATTCACGTGATGTTCAAGAACGTTTAATACAATTAGAAGAAAATTCTGAAAAAATAATGGGCTTACGTTTAAAAGAATATCGAAGGTATAATATTTTTATAGAACTTATCTTGTTTGTCGAAAAAAGTATAGTGAGTGTAAGTTCAGGTTTTGCGGCTCCCTTTATATCAACCGAGGATAACAGATTTTAGATTCATTTACCAGAGTTCTTTAGCAATGAAGAAGTAGCTGAATAGTATTAACAATAAGACTTGGACTTTTCTATAACATTCAAAAGTCTTCCTCGAAATTTCAATGGCTGAAATACGTTTATAAATCTTCAAAATGATGCAGATAAAAATCATGTTCGAGATGTCAAGGATGATGCATTGATTTTTGAAACTATCTGGATTAATAATGATGTCTAGAGTAATCAGTCAAATTTTTGTATACAGTTAGATTTGTAAAATAAACAATTCTTTTTCGGAAGTAATCAAATCTTGTGCGCCTTAGAAATACAATTTTTAGATCTTCTCTACATTCACACCCACACCTTTAAGTGCTTCGATTGACATTAGTGTATGCATGCTTTACCTCTCTTTTAAATAATAATAGGAAGACTAATCGATAGATATATTTATATATAGTCCTTCAAATGAACAAAATCGGTTTTCTAGTTAGTCGTCAATGCTAGAGAAACTCTGAGTTTACTAGAAAACCATGCCTTGACATTTTAGATTTCAGTAGTTTTGATGATCTAAAAAAAAAGAAACAGAAAAAAAAATTAAAGAAAAAAAAACCTTTCTCTCATCTGAAATAGTCAGGAGTTCTCTTTCAAATGAAAGTCATCTGAGCTTTACAACTTGTCCCTGGAAATCTCTTGAACGATTAGGTATGGAGGTGTGAATTTGTTTCTAAATAATGAACTTTTATCAATCGTTTTATTCAAAATAAAATTCTGTTTCAGAAATATTGACGGTATTAAAGATTGTTTTAAATCAATTTTACGTTCATTTAATGCTGATCAGCCATTAAATGACGTTTATTCACAAGTATACGCATATACAAGTAAAAAACCACGATCAGTTGCACCACGTACACCACGTATTGTCATTCTTGGTCCAACTGGTAGTGGACGAAAAACAGTAGCAATGCAGGTTTCACGAAAATATGATATACCTATTGGTAAGAACCGCAAATTTTAAAGATTTAGCTCAAAGCAAACCATACTTTTTTTTTTTTTTAAATAAATTTAAAACTTCAATCGATAAAGTAGATATGACAATGAAGAGATCAAATTGTCTTGATTTGACTTGACCCGAGAAGGTTTCTATTTTGATTTTTTTTTTATTCTTCTAGTATCAATTCCAACACTTATTAAACAACAAATTGTTAATAAAACACCAGCTGGTATTAGTATGAAACCTTATGTTACTCGAGAATCATTAGGTAAAAGTTCATATTTGTTTCCATATGAATAAAAAAAACACGGTTTTATTTGTTTGTGTTGAATTTATAGTTCCGGATAGTTTATTAATGCAAATTATTCGAGATCGTTTAAGTCAAAAAGATTGTGTAACTAAAGGTTGGGTAATGATTGGTTTTCCTCGTACACGTGAACAAGCAGAAAGTTTAGCTCGAACACCTGGTTTGGCACCTAGTCGGTAAGATAAATTCATATAAATAATAAAATTGTTTAAAAAAAACAAACTATCCTTTGAAGAGTTTTCTTTTTGGATATTCCTCTTGATATTGGTTTGGAACGTTTAACTCAACGAGCATTAGATCCAATAACAGGTGATCGCTTTCACACTCATGAACATCCACCACCAACACATAATATAAAACAACGTTTACTTCAACATCCAACTGATGATAAGGAAGCTGTACAAAAACGTTATCAAGCATATACGATTTATTATGA